AGGAAGGAGAAGATGGTGAGTGTGAATTAGCATAGATTTAGGGTATATTGTGCTTGACCAACCTAATTGCCTTCTATGATAAAATGACTAGGTCTCTTGTTAATGATTCACACTCTACATTGATACTAGTTACAGTTGGAGTTCCTCAGGGGTCTATCCTAGGACATGTCCTGTTAAATGTTTTTGTCCATGACCTGGAGGAGGAGATGGAGCACACTGTCTTCAAATCTGCAGGTGACACCAGAGTAGGGGGTGCAGTTGATATGTTCGAGGGCAGAGCTACCATACAGATGGAACTAGACAGGCTGGAGGAATGGGCTGACAGGAACCTCATGAAATTCAGCCAGGAGAAATGCAAAGTCCTGCACCTGTGATGGACTTAAGCCACTGCTACTGTTCAAGCTGGGGCCTAACTAGCTGGGGAACAGCTCTGCTGGAAAGGACCTGGGGTGATGGTGAACAGCAATCTGTGCGTGCGCCAGTACTGCAACACGGCAGCAATGAAGGTCAACAGTATCTGGGGCTGTATCAGTGGTAGTATAGGCAGCAGAGCAAGGGAAGTGATTATTCCACTTTTATCTGGTACTCATTAGACCATACCTGGAACACCACGTCCAGCTTTGTGCCCCTCATTACAGGGAAGATATTAATAAACCTCAGTAAACCTAATGGAGAGCCACCAAGGTGGGAGCACATGCCTTGTGGCTGAGAGAAGTGGATTTGTTCAGCCTGGAGAAGAGATGGCTTTTGAGCATGCCTAACCTAAATTCTGCAAGGAGATTATCAAGGCTCTTTATTAAGATGCCCAATGGGAGACTGAGAACAAGAGTCATAAATTGTAGCAGAGGAGGTTCTGACTGGATATAGAGGAGAAGAAAACATGATGATGAAAATAATTAAGCTGAGAGAGGTTGTGCAGTCTCCATCCTTGGAGGTTTTCAAGACCAGACTTGCATAAAGCCTTGAGTGAGCTGACGCAGCTTTGAGTGGGAGGTTGGACTAAACATATCCTGAGTTGCCTTCCAGTCTGGATGATGTTGTGATTCTGTAGACTTAGTGAAGTTAATGCACATAGTACTTTTATGCAGTAACTTAAGACCTTTAAGTTGCATGCTTTAACTTTCCTAAACATTTCCAAATAACTAAGCATTAAGTATTCTTCTGACAATATACTCTGATGCTTTGCAGTAAACAAGCTTTTATTGTTTTGTTTTCAGTAAGCTGAGAGTACACAGAGACAACAGCATGATGGTGAGATAAGGACAATTTTCAAATCTATTGCTTAATTTGTCCTCCAGGAAAGTTATCTAGGCCTTCCTAGATAGGCCCTCCTATCAACTGGGCATATAGCTGTGAAGATGTGATAATACTATCAGCTTACGTTAGAAAGTTAGAAGGCAATTCAGGAGAACTGGAGATTCCTATTGCAGATAGTTTTTGTTGGTTAACAAAGAAAATCAGTATTGTAGCCTAGATAATAACAAGATTTGATTAGAAGCCTGCAGTTCAAAGATACTAAGCTCCGCAGTTCCCACTGATTTCAGTGGAGATGGATCTGCTGCCTAACTCTGAAAACACAGCAGAAATTTTTAAATTGTTTCTTGCACACATGAATACCTAGAGCTAGCTTTCTAACTTCATCTGAAGTACTTAACTCTGCCTAAAGAGATACCCTTCTTTTTCTTATGGAGTAGCCTAGTATTTCACATCAGCAGGTAGGAAAGCAAATGAGATTAGAAAGTATCTAGAATCTCTTAATTAATTTACATCATTTTTATTTATCATCTACCATACGAGTTCAGTTGGTGGGAAATAGACGCACATGGAGATTTAGGCACATGGACTATGTATGTATTGCAGGACTAGAGATTTTTGTCCAGAGGTTGTACTTGTCAGCAAGAGGATCTTGATTGGAATATTGATCTTGTAAGCTACAGTCCATTGAACTATTTTTGTAAAAACTACCACCTGAGGATTATTCTTACTTGCTACCAAAACATCTTTTCCATCTTATGAGTCTCCACAAGGCATTTTAAAACGTCTCATTTTACAAATAACTTACTATTTCTTTTTAAATTGTGGTCTCGGCTGTGCAAATTTTGCAATTTGTTCAGACTGTGTAATATTTTGAATTGTTTTGAATACTGGCTGGCAGCAGTTTGATGTGTTTTAGGAAGCAAGTAAATGTCTTAGCTAGACATGAAGATGTGGGGTTTTTTTAAATACGTGTCATTTGCGATATGATCCACTGAAACTTTTTCTTTCTGTGTAATCCTGAAATTATAAATACTTAAGCTAAACTTTATTGGGGTACTATTTAAGCTAATGCAAAACTGTTAAAAGCTTTTAGTCCTCTGAAACTGTGCTTAAGTCTATATATACAAACTTAATCTTTCTCTAGTTATAGGCAAAAGTATTGTATCAGAAGCAGTGGAACTTGTCCCACTGTAAAAATTCATGTTTGTTTTACTTCCATAGGATTTAAATTTTAGCACACTGAACAGATTTTGAGGTAATAGTAATAGTTCATATTCTCATGCCTTGTTTTGAATGTCTGATTTTTGTTTGGTTTTTATTTGACAGTGGTGCTACTAAATACTACTTTGCCTTCGTTTATTTCATTGATGTCCAAACAGAGGAGGAATATACTTGGATCCAACCAGTTCAGTTTTTCAGCATTGTTTTGCCTAAGCAGGATTCATCAGGGCAGTAAGGTGGTTGTTGCTGAAGAGCTCTCTGCATCCAGCACTGAACAGTGTAACTGATTGGTCATCAAATCATTGAAAACTCCCCGTCTGAGTTCAGATTCAGCCTTCAGGCAAAAGAGACAGAACTATGAATTTCAGGAAAGCCATGTTCGGATATACCAGCTGAGATCAGTCCTTTAGTTCAGCTCATCGGTCAGGGCATTGTAAATGAGGGTGCAAAAGTCATCACACACTTTATGTGGAACATACCATTGAGTCTGCCTGCCTGCTAATCTTAAGACTTAGACTTTTACCCATGACCTTTTACATTGCACTTGTTACTACCGTCTGTGGGAACCTAATATGTGAAATTATCAATGGTGCTGGTCATGCCTGAAAAGCTGCTATAGTTTAAACCACCATTTCTTCAGCGAAATTTTTAAGATCCAGAAAAAGCCATAAAAGTTGCATTGCCAAAGTTGCAGCTTGTGACCGGGTGCCCGCCATGCAATGGAAATCAAGTTCTGAGTTAAGTGCTAGTGAAATGCACGGGGAGAATTAGGCACTTGTCAGGAGTGCTCAGCATGCAGCTGCCTGGTAGCCCATAGGGACCTGAGGTGAGATGGAGCAACCCATCCTCCTTATTAAACATATCTTTCCACTGTTTCCATTCCTAAGGCTGGATCATCTCTTTCTCACAGAAATGTCAGAGAATGTGTGCTGTTGTAAAAGTGACTGGAAAGCTTGCTTAGGACCCCACGTTTTCAAATATTACTGTATTTTAACCAAGACCCTGCTGGCTGTTTTAAGGGAGTGTCTCTCACTTTGTTTTCTTGATATTGTTCTGCTTTGTTTAAATATCTCTGAAAGCAGATGAAATAGCTTCTTTCATATGCTATAGTCACTGGCTCGTAGGCACTGGGCTGGGAAAAAGGGGATGTAGATTTAAATTCAAGCCCCAAATTTAACTGAATAGGGATTTGAACTTGAAAGGAGATCAGTGTACAAATGTTCACAGACACACCCTCTCCTTCTTTGACTCAGTTTTAGGTTTAGACACGATTGAGAACTGCAAAGAGTTTGCTCAAGCTGTAGTCAAAAAGGAAGATGACTGTTTTGTCAGAGGGTCTGGTGTGGGTTTGGACATTAGCTACAGGGTCTCAACAGCATGGCTGCATCAGGACTGAGGCAGAGGTGTCTGTACTGGTAGTCAGCATTGTTTTTGTCACAATGAGATTAGGAGAAGCTCAATCTGTGTTCACTTTACAAGTTACGTCTGATCATTTGAAAATTCTTTTGTATTTTCCTGGGGCAATGATCTTCAAAATTTTGTTCATAAAAGCCATATCTAAGAATGAGTATATTTTTAAACAGCAGATCTGATCACTCAAGTCTTACATGTTAAAATTTCACTCAGGAAGTCCTATTAAAAGTAAAGGAGGTAGTTTTTGGTAAAAGGTAGCAATGTAAATTATCTAAAATTCCATAACCAGAAAATCTGCAGACTAAATTTTCATTAAAAATAATTACAGTCTGCATTAATCCTTGAGCTGCAGGTTGGGTGTGCAAGATGAAAATTACTGAGTAAGAATACCTAGTATTGTGAGCAGAGGGAGGTGGTTAATTGCCATTACTAATGAACACTGAGATTTCCCAAATTTTAGCTTTGTTTAATGCTGTAATGTAAAAAGTTATCTGCTTTGTGGAATGAAGTGATAGTTTTAATCAAACTCAGTCATACAGACAAGATTTTGGCCTCATAAGTCTCTCTTGAGCTCATGAATAAGCTTATTCTTTAAGGAGACTTTATGCTGATATAAGAAAAATGGGAGAAGCATAATCTACAGACTGCGAGGCCAGGTAGAAACAAGTACAAAACGTTAGGGAGGGAGAAATGCAAAGAACTGGCACTATTTCAGTTAAAGGGGAAAAAAGGAAGAGGAAAGTAACACAAACAGAATACACAAAAAGCCCCCAGTCAAAATGTACTTTTAAACAAATCTTTTCCTCAATGTAAAGCTTTGGTTGAGTCAATCTCGTATGTTCCACCACAGTAATGCCTTGGTGATGAGTTTGTGAAATTGACATTTTGGGGGGAATATAGTATTTAATTATTTACTCATTTTATATGGGATACTGAGAACTGTGCTTTTGTAATCACACGTACACCAAATGAGCATAAAGTAGGAAGTCACGTGCTAGCTAGTGAACCGATGAAATCAAACTGGAGGGGAGTGATCCAGGGGGATGAAAAGCTCATGCTGCCATCAGGTTAAAGCTGTGAATATCTCCCCCTTGATGGTATTCACACAGGAATCAAGGGAAATGTGTAGAGGGCATGGTGGAAATCTTTGACATGCTGCTGGCTACTGCTGCTCGGTTTCGCATGATGAACCTTCAAGGGGAGGAATTTGTGTGCCTTAAGTCCATCATCCTGCTCAATTCTGGTAAGTGGTGTGCTTTGCTGTCACTCGGGTAATTGTGGTTGCTTCTGCACGTGACTTAATGCTGCTTGTTGTCGCTAATGATGTTTTCGTTTTGAGACAGCAGCAATCGAAAGGGGGCTGTCAACATAGATGCAGGCAGAACCACCAAGCAGGGATGGAAGCAGGCAAACCTGTTCAGTGGTGTAGGTGGCCCTCAGCAAATTAATGCAGTAAAGTAGTTGATTCACTGTGTACAGCTGATGTGAAGGGCGACCAGAGCAGTGTTTTGAACTAGGTGCTAGCAGGTCTTAAACCTCAGATTACAAGACACTGAAGTAGCTGGAGCCATGCTTAGGGCATCCAAAGGCAATGCTTAGTTGTAAATCTACACCTTCCTTTTTTGATGATGGCAAAATAAAGGGAAATAATGGCAAAAATGTGTCTGAGTTTATCACGGTTTAGTTTATATCAAAATACAGGCGTCTAAAACTGATGTCATCACCTTACACTTCCTTTATAGTCGATAAGTATTTTTGGGCTGTAAATCTCATTCTGAAATACACTTCAAAAATAAGTGACCAGATAACAAGTGTAGCTATGGATATGAATATGTAAAGTTAGCTCACTTGAATTCTGCATGAGATTATTGAAATAAGCAAATTCAAGTTGAGGCATGTGACAGAAAATTTCTGTTGCACACCAGGGGATCTTTTTCTGTTTGAGATGAGAAAAAACTCTGGACAATTTATTTTTAAATGCAGAAATGAGGCCCCTGGTGCTCTCATGGAAATGATAGAGGTCTAAAATAATAATGTAGGCACCAAAGTCAGCATTTTAGACCCAATCTCCGCTAAGTTGTTACCTAACGACTAAAGATGCCAGAGTTTCCCAACCTTGAGAATTTACACACTTGTTCTCCCCTTTTTCTGTTGGGTTTGAACTCGTAGATGGTATCAAGCTCTAGACAAAACACATGTGGAGAGCTGTATGTCCTTTTTATCTGGTGGTCTAACGTATCACTTGCCCAAGTTACATGAAATACGAATTCAGATAATTCCCACCAAAAGCTAACTCTAAGCACAGCAGACTTTGCTTTATTGATCAGGCACTTCTTCCTTTATGGAAACTTGGACCTGGTCTATGAAAAAAAAAAAAAAAAAAATCAAGCAAAATTATATATTTATACAATGAAATATAAAATATTTCATTTATGTTCTGTGAGATATTGATGTGGCTCAGGATTTGTTGTGATTGTCACCAGTTACCAAAATGTGACATCTGAGGCAAGCACCTGACATATTAGGAATGAAAGGCTATTGTTTTTATCTTGAATGCCAGGGTATGACAATTGTAATTTCTGTTTGACATTATATTTTCCTTTTATTGTCCTGATAATAATAACAGAATATTTCCCAGAGATAAAAGTTCTTCCCAAAAAGTGATGCTTCTCCAGATTTTTAGCTAATATGTTGTAATGTAGTTATTCTCTTAAATAAATCTACAATATGTAATTGGTTTATAGAAATATTGAATTAGAAAAAAAAATAAAATCGGAAGTTTGAATAAAACACATTAAATGTTCATGTCTTGAACATGAAGACTTCAAGTCATGTTGCTGAGAGTTTTTGTGCCACTACTGTGTTTAATATTGATCCAGAAAACTATATTTGTTATTTAGACAAAGCTCTGCCAGACACCACCAGCTATCCTTCATAAGCATGTCTTACTTTGTTAAAGGGATTTTTTGTTTCAAGCTTTCCCTAAGGAAAAATTGTGGGAAAAAAAAGAAGCCAGTGAAGTCAGTAATAATCAGAGAGATGGACCACTGACTGAGGCTAAGAGATATTAGATCTTCATTCCTTCAAGGTTCATATTCAGCAGGTTCAAATCAGTGGTGGTCTGTGTGGTAGAAGGTCAGAGTTGTTCTGATGATCTAATGAGTGATCTGAATTGAGGTGTGGATTTTGTTTTTACATTAAATTAAAGTTTATAGCTGCTCAGAAGTCTGGCATTTTTACAAGAGTCCTGACAATGATAGATCAGAGGGGATCATTCGGGTTGAGCTGTTACAGGTTCATAATGGATGCAATTCATACCATTGTTATGCAAAGTGTAATTTATTACTCTGGCTTGGATATTGTACTTATTGCAGTATATCTGAGTACACTGTAAACTGAATGTGTATGTATGTATGGCCACAGAATGTATGTCTGTACTTGTAATTGCCTTTATGCATAAAGGTAATTAATTTTACATTTCAGGTTTTGCATTCCTATAACCAACTAATTTTATAACTGTCTGAGGAGTTAACTGCTAGGTGGTGGGAATGTAGACATGAGTTTCTGACTGTGAGACCCTTTACATGCCCCAGTTAGGAAACTAGACTGCATTACAGAAATAAGTAGCATAATTTGGGGTATGTGTAATAATTGTGTAAGTGTTGTTTGTCATAGATACTCTAAAATGTCTTCTGGAGATGCTTTTCTTCACAGAATATAGCCAGCCTCCTTGGGCAAAGTGTTGGACGCACATGAAATATTAGGTGCTCTGAAGCCCATGGAGTACATGATGTATGAGAAGAGGCTGAGAGAGCTGGGTTTGTTCCTCCTGGAAAAGGGAAGGCTAAGGGAAGGTCTAACTGCAGTCCTCAGATAGCTGATGAACAGGTTATGGAGAAGCCAGGGCCAGACTCCTCTCCGAGGTGCAAGAGGAAAGGAGAAGCTGCAATGGAGACAAACCACAGCAAGGGGCATTCTGACTAGATGAACAGAACAAAAAATCTTCCCAGTAAGAGGTTAAACAGTGGTACAGGTTGGCCAGAAAGATGGTAGGGTCTCCATCCTCAGAGATACTCAAAACTCAGCTGGACAAAGCTCTAGGCAGCTTGTCCCAGCTCTGAAGTTGCCGGTATTTGAGCAGGAGGTTGAACTGGATGACCTCCAAGCCTCCCTTAACCTGATTTTTTTTTCTGAGCTTGCACATGTAAATATACACAAAGAAACAGCAGATAAACACACAATGAGTTTTTGGCCCTTTTGCTATTTGTATTATATATGTATACGATTAAATTAGCTGATCTCAAAATGATTTAAACAAGTGGGCTAATTAAACAAATTGGACTAATTATGCTGCATTTCATATTTAAATGCAGTCTGCATTTGCATTCTAAAGCTTTGTGTGGATTTAATTCACTGAGTGTACACAAACATTTCTTTATTAAATCCTTGGACATCTGTTTTAGTCTCTTCACATGAGTTAGTGCAGTTTCTTGCTTTTGTTGAACATTTATTTTCTCTTTTTTTTTTGCAACATCTTTCAAGGCTGTTTAATATCTTTACACTCCTTTTCCATGTGGTCTTGGGCAAAATGCAAGCGATTTTTTTTTTAGTTTCACTCAGTGCGTGTGGAAAAGATAGAAGGTTTTGTTTACAAAGCAAAATATACGTTTACTCTACTTCCAAATTTTTCGTGAGATATCAAGGCGACAGCATGTCTGTAACAAGGACGGCATTGTCTCTAGCTACATAACATACAAGAGGGTGCCCCTCCAAAGCTGCAGCATTAAATCTTTTGACTAAAAGCAAAATTGTATTTCTGAAGAACACATTCAGCTCAATAATAAAGGGCTGTTTCTTAACACTGGAAAATAAGTATTAGAGACATGAAAGGGCAACATGGTGCCAGATGTTTTACTTTTAAGTGTATCTGAAGAGAGGAGTGGTGCTATGTAGCAAAGCAACAGGCGTTCATTTTGGAGATGAAGATGTAGGTCATGTCTGCCTTAGCAGCTGATTTACCTAATTAGTTAGCTAGTTAGTACAGAGAGATGGAAAGATGTAGCTGATTTTATGCGTCCTGTAGATTCCATGTGACTGTTTGTTATTCTTTTCTCCTGATTTTTCCAGCTCCTGTTAAATTGTGCTTTTTATTTATTTCTTTATTTTGGGGGCTGGATGATTACATGAGTGCATGGTACAGAGCTGAATTTGCTTATAGCTCAGCCTGGCTTGCTACAGATCCAGAGCAATGGGGCACGGTGGAAGAGGAAGAAGAGCCTTGGGTATCGTTTTGTGAGCCTGAACTCTAAATGTAAAGATATTTTAAACTGGGGTTTATTGTGACAGAAAAGACGTAGAGGGCATTCTCCTCTACAGTAATATGCAAAAATATATCACTATATGTAGTGACATATATAAAATTATATCCCTATATGCCAACGGCTGGCACGGTAGCACTACAGTCCCCAAGGGCCCCTGTTCTGTGCATAGCTTTGTGCTATGGGCACAGACCAGTAGGCTTTACTAGTTAGCAGGGTGGTGCTTTCTCTATTCTTGCTCTTATTATGTTTTACAATACCAACCTACAGAAAGAGCTGAAAAACCACCTGGTAGCTATTCAATTTAGGCTTGCTTTCAGCTTCAGAGCTTGGAAGGACCTTTGAGACTGTTAAATTTAATTTTGCTGAGACAATTTTCTGCACTCTTGTTCCAAAGCTGCGCTTGTGTGTGTATGTGTGTGATGGATAGCTGGCATTTCTTTTAGGGAAATTTCTGGTCATTGGCCTGGGTCAGGAGCAATCACTGGGGGGCAAGAAAGGAAAACCAAATGTCATTTTTCTTGGCAGTTATTGACTGGAAATTGCCTGAAGTCTTTAGATTTTGGGGGAGTGCTTTTTTGATTTATACTTTTTAATAGCTTCTGGACTAGACCTAGGTGAGAAACAACTCCTCTCAACAGTTTTTTTGTATTCTTTTTCTGGTTTCAAAGTTATGAAGCTAAGGGGTACTGCTACAAGGGCACAACAGCATCCTCTGGCTGAAGTAAGCTGCTCTGGAGGCACTGTGGGTTTATGAGGCTAATGTTTCCTTCTAATGGACTGTGATTTGTCAGTAATATTTAAGAATCTTGCCCTTACAGGTACCTGCTAAGCTATAAGTCCTGGTATTGTCAGTAGGCATATGTGAGGGTAGTTAAGAGTCATTCAGCTGAGAAAAGCCCAAGAAGCATTTTCTCTTTGGTGAATTCATTTCAGTAAAATAATAATAATCATAAAAAGCTTAGTCAGAAAAGAGGCCATTGTACTATACATCTATATCAAATTTGAAGCAATATTCATTACCAAAATTAAGGGCTCTGACCGACAGTTTTCAGAAGTTGTGCTGTGTTTGAATTATTCTTTTGCTTTTTTAAAAGCAGTCTCTCTCTGAGACACTCATTCACAAACATTCACAAACACAAATTTGCATTTCTTTTTAGTACAGAAGACCCAAAGTCATAAAACCTACTTGTAGGTTACAAATCCAATGGTATAGTCCCCAGGCTGCAAACAGTACAAACAAGCTAGAGTATGTCTGTGTATGTGTGCATGTTAGTGTGTGTGTGTGTCTTTTTTCTTCGTATCACTAACTGTATTGCATATTGTGCTATATATGACACTTTAAAGAAAAGAAAAATGAAAAGTAATTCTAGAAACCAATTTTTTCCAAGGACAAAATCCAAATTTCTTCTTGCGTCTGTGAGCTGATGCAGAAGGGCCAAAGCACAGGATTTGTCAAGTACGTTATAGACACAGGGCAGTGAACACACCATGATCAAGCCACTTTGATTGTATTACCGTACATCCATCTTAAGCTTTTGCTGCCTCAGGACTGGATTAGAGTAATACGACCTGTTTGGAGTTATTGGCTCAAACCAGAAGATTAACTGGTGCCGAATGCAACAGCTGCCTTTTGGCAGCACAGTGCTGTTGTGACCTGACTCACGTTGGCTGTGTGCTGTCGTCCAGAACAAATTCAAGATAAAACCATGCGGAATAGGTTAGAATTTCCCATTTAGAAAGCTGATGTGTTTCATGCACCCCAAAATTACTACTGGCAAAAGCTCTTATGCCTGAGTTACAGTGATTATAGGAGATGTAGAGGGGCTGTTTGTTAGAGGGGAGGTTTGAAAGTTCCTTCTGGTCCAAAGCTTGAGGCTGCTCACTTCCAGCAGTAAGAAATGTAAGATGGCTGAATTTACACAGGTTGCTTTGGACATGGATTTTAAAGGAGAGTTGGGTTTGCAGGTGAAGCAGCACACCTTTCAAGGCTCTTGCTCGGTTGGGAGGGGTTTTTTGAGGTGAGTGTGCGTAAACAAACCCCGATTTTGTTTACATGATTTGTGGTAACGTATTATTCAGTTCTAGACTGACTAGCAAATCACCCCAAATCAAACATTAAACAGCAGAGAAAACGGCAAAAACTGCCAAAGGCCTGGGCTGGTCAGCAAGTATTGCAGAGCTCTCAAGGGGCAACAGCATCTCCTCAAGGTTTCGGAGTTGAGGAAGAGAGGAGTGCAGCCTGAAGGTAGGTCCAGCTGCTGGCTGTGGGTGTCATCCACCTCCTGGCCCAGACCTTGGATGGACCCAGGCAGGGAAGAGGCATCGCCTTCCTCCTCCTGCTTTGCCCACAGGGACCGAATCCAAGCTCCAGGGCCATTCAAAGCAGTGACCTGGCTGGCAAGCAGGAGGGTTAGCGCACAGTCAGCTCCCGTGGTTTAACACAGCTGAAGAGGTCAGCCACGAGGCATAATTTGGGCAAGTCTGACTCCATCAAAGTAATTTTTGTCTGTGGTTTGTTTGTTTTCTTTCCCCTTCCTACTCCAGGTGTGTACACTTTTCTTTCCAGCACCTTGAAATCTCTGGAAGAGAGAGACTATATCCACCGTGTTCTGGACAAAATCACAGACACTCTGATACACTTAATGGCTAAGTCGGGTCTTTCTCTGCAGCAGCAGCACAGGCGACTGGCTCAGCTCCTCCTCATCCTCTCTCACATCAGACATATGAGGTGAGAGCAAGCATGCAGTCAGCCCTCCTGCACCGGTCCCATGCAAGGGAGGTTTTGCAAATGCACACACACACTTTTCCTTCACAGGTGCAAACTGTGTAGAGCTGTTACAAAACCAAACAAAGAGAAGTCAACTTTCCATAAGGATGTATGGAATGTGTGCAAAACAGTACATTGGATTATGGTGTGAAAGGAGTAAACTTTTTCACCATCTGTTTCTTCTAGTTTTCTTTTCCTCTGCTTCTTGTTTTGATAGCGCTGTAAGCAGTATCTACTTGTAATGTTACGTGCATCTGGTATTCTTTTTGAAAAGTACCAAGCAGAATACTAATGTTGCAGTAGCCTAGTTCTGCAAATTTTAGTCGTCTCCTGTAAGATAAGGTTTAATAAAACTATCAATGTTATGTAGCCCCTTTTCACAAGTGGCTTGATTGCAGATCACTTTAGAAAAGAGATTAGGATCATTATGTGTATCTTATGAGTGAGGATAAATTCAGATCTACTGAATCCCAATCTAGAGGACTGTGCCCTTTGCTAATTAGAGGTGAGGTGTCTGAGGTGCTCTGTTAGCCACAGCAATGGTTCTCCCAAATGTAATTACCTCTTAAGGTAGCTGCTCAGTGGCTGGAGTGTTTACAAGATGACAAGTCTATACAAAGATACAGTACAGATTTTATTTTTATGAAGAGACAAGAGATGTTGTTACACAGATTTTCATTTTCATTATTTCAGTTAATAAAATTACAATTAGGGTAAGCACGACATCATAGCTACTAAAGCTGAAATGTGCAGATTTTACTTCCTGGGCTGATATACAGGTCTTCAGGAAAAAGTCAAGGGGTGTGTTAGTGTGGGTTTTTCACTTGTGTCTTTTTGTGGAGTTTTTTTGTCTTCATGTTATTCATCCTTTTTTTTCCCTAAGAAGAATTTGTACAATTAAGGAAGTTCCAGATGCACAGTGAAGTTAATTATTGTTTCCAGAGTTTTGTGAATGGATCCTATTACAAGTGAGCATTTACTAACAAAGTGGCTGAGGCTATTTTCTAGGAAAAGAATCTGATATTTTAGGCCTTGTTATGGGAAAGCCAAGATTCATCTCATCCACTTATTCACAGTGGCTAAATTAGGAGTCCATGTGCTCTACGTTACCTTTTAGGCAAAGGAGAGCAAAACCCCCACCTTTAGAAGGCACCTTGCTCATGGGCAGTCTGAAGCGCTCTTTTGAAAGTGCCGCCTTCTGCTAACTGTAGCAGGAGTGTACAGCAACTGCACTGTTAAGTAAGTTAGTTGTTTTGTACAAGGTGGAACTTATATGAACCTAACAAATATTATTAGGCGATAGCTTTTTCTTCCTATATCACATTTGGAAAGTAACTGTTGTTTTGTTACAACCCACAGCAACAAAGGAATGGAGCACCTGTACAATATGAAGTGTAAAAATGTAGTTCCACTCTATGATCTCTTGCTGGAGATGCTGGACGCTCACCGACTGCACGCCCCAGCAGCCAGGAGCGCTGCACCAGTGGAAGAGGAGAACCGGAGCCAGATGACAACTGCATCAGCCTCATCTCATTCCTTGCAGTCTTTTTATATAAACGGCAAAGAAGAGGAGAATGTGCAGAATACAATATAAACAGAAGTCAGCATATATAATGGTATGAGAAACCCAGCAGCGTACTACCTAAGTCATGCTTCATTTCGTCTGTAGTGCCACCTAGGTAAACACTCCAATGACAACAGTCACCTGCATTTTCCATTTGAGTGTTGGTCAAGTGCTTGCCTAAATTAATTGCTTATCCTAAATGGAAGACATTTCATTGCTATGGACAGTCAGCAAGGATTGTCAGGCTAACTTGATTTAAAATATGCAGTGATTTTATTTAATTTTGCATGTAAATTGGGTAAGTCCTAATCTAAACCAAACATTCATTTTACTATAAATTAATAGGCCATACCACCCATGCGTATTGGTATCTCCATGAGTGGTAGCCTTTGTTGATATTAACCTGAAATTCTGAGCTCGCTTAATCCTTTACTTGCTTGAAACTTTGAAGCAGTTTGGTAGAGATTCTGGGTTACTTTTTTTGGGGGGGGGGAAGGAGGGGTAAATGGAAACTTGGTTGGCATTTTAGTGTGCCACAGTGAAACTGCACTGTTAGTGACCACCTTGGTAGTTTAGGAAGATTCCTGCCTCTCTTCTTCCTGCAGTAGAAAGGAACCCCTGTGAGAATAATACTGTTTTACCTTGCCGGTTTACATCAGCAGACAACTCCCTCTCAAGATCATACGGACCAAACTTTTAGGTCCCCTTACCACATCCTCTAGCTGAATTGCATTGCGTGCATCCTATCTTGTCTGATCCTACAAAGCTAAATAGTTCTGTTGCTTGGCAGTGTGTAAATCAAGGGCAACATGGCAAACAGTGATAACACAGATAATTATTCTTAAATTAGACCAGATGATTAAAAAAATCATCAGGTCTTAAAAAACAAAAACAAAAACCAAAACCCAAACAAACAAACAAACAAAAGTCTGCACACACAGGCATGATCCAGCACTATTTTATAAAACCCCACCGCTGTTCTTTGCTTTGTTGTGCTACAAACCAAGGGGTGAGGATGCCAGTGCAAGACTGGCACAGCAGGGTGGGATGGTCCCATGCCACTCAGCAGAGTGTGGCCTAGCTGTGTATGGGAGGGCTGGCATCACAGTCAGAGCGATAGGCTTTGCATTGCCTTGGCTTTCTTTGGCTCTCATTGGGGCATACTCAGAAATCACTGCTAAAAACCAGCTCACCTGTGACACCAGAACTGGGCAATGAGCCTCAGACATGGTGAAGACCCTGGGACTGAATGGCTGGGAAGATAAATCTGGCTTTCTCCATGCATGTGTGTAACTGTTTTTCATAAGGATGAGTCAGATTCTTCAGACCAACTGTAAATATACAAGAGGTCCACTGACATCAAGAGTTTCAGCAAGACATGAAGCAGAGAGACTGAAGAAATCCATACTATGAGCTATTCAATGCAGGACTTGGTGCTGCTCTTTGACTGCCTCCATGCCAGAAAATTAAACGTGTCAGGGAACGTTGCTGGGTACTGGAATGCGATTATTACACATGCCAGGGATATTTTATTAGTCTAATGATAAACTTTGCCTGTGCTATCTGTACTTCTGGTTTACAGGTGCAGTTTGGGAGTTAGCACAGACCAGGGACTATTCCAAAAGCTGGTTGGAAGTGACCACCCTGCCAGTAAGGACGTTTCATAGTACGTCCGTGGGCTGCTCCAGAGCAGCTGGCCACAGTGCTAGAGAAGAGTTCAGGGATGATTCTTTTACTGCTATAGCTGAAGCCTTTATGTTAGATGATGTTGATTGGAATATCCTGTAGTAACTAAATATAGGAAATAGTGCAACTATTGCCATACAGGAGTGCCTATGTCTGATTACGCTCCCTGTTACTCAAGCAGAGTCTGTGGGCAGCGAGATCAAGTTACGTAGCAATTGTGGAGGCAGCAGGGCATAAGACAAGTTTGTGCTCCAAGTCAAGGATTCGATTCTCTTGTGAATGTACATAATGTTGTCTATAACAGTTTCGTGTACATATCTGAGGATATGCGCAGTTTAAAAGTCTAAAGCTAGATGCTACTTATGTTTGAGAAGATTCCTCGAAAACCGTGCAAGCCTAAACATGTGAAGCAGTCACTGTAAGTTAATAGGCCTTTTATTGATGCATATTATAGTGTGATTTTTTTCTGAATGTGCTGAAGGATTTGTCTTTTTGTGTATTCAGTAAGAGTGTGTGTGTGCATGTGTGTGTGCAAATTTGGTACCTAAGGGCTTTTGGAGGGCTCTTAAATGCCTTGAAAGAAAATACACATTTTGTTTTGTTTAGTAGTTGGTTTTCAAATGTGTTAGAGAAATCATGAATGCCCTGAAATGAGTACAGGCTAAGATCTGAATGGAGCACAGGAATCCCTGTTGTTACTTGTGTGCTTACACCATCATCATTCACTTGTAGCCCAGTGCGCGTTAGAGCTGCTCTTTAAATACTGTATGTGAAACTCGGTGTTCTCTGCGACAGCACACACAGATCAAGCTCATAAGCTGCAAGGCAAATTGATTTAAATGAATGCCTCCCTTCCTACAGCCCAGAACAGTTCATTACATTGATTCAAGTGTAAATTTGGCCTAGAGGAAAAAAAAAAAGTTCATGGAGAACAACTCACAACAGAGGGTCAGATTCTGATGCTACTTACATAGGGCAAGTACCACTATACTCTACAGATTTTCCAGTGAAGCTGGATAAGCATGATTTGAAGTGGTATGCAGCAGACAGAAGGGTATCATAACGTATCTTAGACCATAAGGAATAATCAGTCAGCTCACAGTCTTAATTATGAATGCTTTCCTATGCTCAGCCCTTGCAAGGAAGTAATTTAGATTCAACCACGTTTAAATTCCTCCCATGTTTGTGGTGACAACAGTGAAGGGCACCCAAAAAGGAAAATCAGTGATTCCCAGTAATACATTCATTTACCTTGGAGCAGTTTCAGGATCTGTGTCATTAACTTCTTCATGAGATTTTAATTGAAGCAGCACCTTAATGAATATAGTAACCTTCCCCTAGTTATCTATAGAGATGATTGTCCACATATCAGACAGCTGAATGTAGCTATTCAATTGATTAAACAAAGTCTATGATACAAAAGTGGCAACTTTTTTCATATGTAATTCTGAATTATGCTCTCATGTATGCAAACAATTGTGCCTGACATTTCGTAATTGTTATTTCAACAGGATGATATTTTATGTGTGTGTATATATATATATATACATATATACTTTGTATTTGCAGCTGACAAACCAGTACTACCTGAATACCTGGTGCTGGATATTAAATAAAAATATACAGCATGTAAAAAAAAAAGATTTGAAAGAAAACTATTCAAGGCAGCTAATTATGCTTTTACCAAAACATTAATAGTGATGTCTCTGGACAGCTAATGAAAGAATTATTTTATAATGTTTATATGTGGATTTAAAAAAAAAAAACAACCAAAAAAACCTCCCAACACCAAAAAACCAAAAAACCCCCTAGAAACATACGTAATGTAATACCAGCACAAGCCAAACAGAAATAGACCAGATGAACTCGCTTTGCTTGAGAATATGGCTGTTACTGAATTATTACAAAAGGCTTGGGAGGCAGGAGAGGAGATAGGGTGATGTGTAGAACTTAGTAGTGTCTGAGTTTCCAACAATATGTGAAAGCTACTCTGGTTTTAGCGGTTCGAGCCATGTCTCAGTGTTGCAGAATTTGTCTCAGGTAAAACTCCTAGTTGGGGCAGTAGGATTTGTACTTGGGTAAAATAATTTAATGAGAGTTTCTTGGTGTGTTTTTGTGGTAAAATTGCTATTAAGTTTCAGTGACATCTCTTGATTTTTCTCCTTCTGTACACTGAGGGGTTTAATAATTTAAAAATATAATTAAAGAAATAATCTGAACTGATGTCACAAGGATATCGCAAGGACTGTCAGCAGGTCACTGGACTTTAAATCGAAAAAAAAAGAAAACCTAAACCACCACCTGCATCCAAGCCAGGGTTTGTACTGGAGCCTCCATCCATTCCGATTGATGCTGACTGATTCTTTAAGAGTTGTGCCAAATGTTTAAAATGAAACAAACTATCAGCAACGTAAAAATTCTGCCTCACTAGGGCCTTAGTCTTATCATAGGCTTTGGGAGGAACACAGCAAGCCTCTCTTGTGTATATAATATCTTGCTTTAAAATTAGAATGCAACCCAGCCTAAATCTAATGGGATTTTGTATATAAGGTATTCTCAGTTGAACTTATGTGAGGTGCATTTCTTACTTTGAATAAAGAGATGGCTATTTTCAATGCTATCTATAACCATAATATAGCTTTACAGATAGAAATTCAACACATGTAAAAAAAGGGTCATGTTAACCATGGTATTGTAATACAAACCAGTCTTTGCTGTCACCTGCAACTATAGCATAATCTCAAATTGACCTGATAATTTTAATTTAATATTTCCCTAATATTAATGTCCTACCCTTTCTACTTGCAATTCCCTTTCATCTTTCAAATGTAGATATCCTTATATTCTGAAAGTTGTTTTCAAAATGATTGTTGCCCATAAGGGTATTTGGTTTTGCACTGTCTTAAAAAAAAAAAACAAAACCTGAAAAAAAAATCTTTTGCATTCAAATGTGCCTAAACAAACAAACAAACAATTTAAAAAATGTATATGTTGCCACCTTGCAAATTAGTATGCTCTGTACTCCTGTGTGCCTATAATCAGAAGACTGTTGCTTCAGAAAGCGCCCATCGGAAAATGAAGGGATAGACTGCTGGTCATGAGACTTGCATTAATAAGCCACTTTATGAATCACCTTATTGTATATACCATAAAAGTAATGCTTTTGTGTGCACTATTTAGTCTGTCAATGGAAAGTCCTTTCTTTGGTATAGGCTCAGCTGCCATAATGTATTTGTTCAAGTATTCTGTTCTTTCACTGATGCATATAAAATTATTGATGTCTGTCTGTGTTTTGATGAGGTTTTTTTTCCTTTGTTTTACACTTTAAAAAGCTCTAAAAAAGTCTAAATGAAAAATATGGTATGCTACTTGATTGGTGCAAGATTTTTGTCAATGCATTTGATGTTGAAAATAAAGAATTAATGAGAGCACTTTGTTTTCTTATTTATCTTTTGC